TGCCACTAATACATTTGGGATGTACACTAGTTTCGACAGTTCAGACACCCCCATGTTGAACTGGTCCTTTGTATGCATAGGGACAGGATGTTTTCTACCTTGTCAGATTAAAATGTTGGAGGTAATAAAAACAGTGCAATGTGCGAAGCATAGCACATACCAAACTGTTCCTTACTCACATTTGTCACTTTACTGAAGCCCTAGAACTTGGGCATGCAGCGTGGAGAATCAGTGGTGTTTGGTTTTTTTAAATACCTCAGTGGAATTGTGGTTATTTTGGTGATGAAGCTGGGTAGGTTTATAGGTGGAGGAGAACAGACAGGTCCTCTTACCGTTTTTGGGGTGCTCAGGAGTTGAATTCTAGCATCCATTTCAGAGGTGCAAAAGAGTTTTCCCTGCCATCATTAATACTCTCTTACTCTTGTTGCTTGGAAGTTATAATATACCTCTGAGGTGTCCCAGAAATAGAAGTCTGCAGGACAGCCAATCCCCAGTAAAACCTTTGGCTTTTGAAAAAGCAAGTCTAACAGGTCCAGTGCCATAACACTGCATTTGATTTGCATGCTGTAGGATGGTTTCTTCTGCATTTTGCCACACACTGTTTCCAAAGGAAATTAGACCATATGGTGAGCAATTTGCCGCTGTGTGCAATTTGCCATCTTTGCCTCTAACAAGTGTGGGTATCCCAGCAAGAATGGACTAACAGGATTTTTGTCACTCAGTTGTTTACCAGCTGTGAAAGGGTACCCTCCCTCACCACCAGCCTCCATCTCTCCATCCTCCAACCACCTGAAATCCTAAGTGCATCATGTTGCCTGATGCCTGTCCATCTCTGTTATGCCACTGCTAAATTACTGTTTACAGGCAGCTGTTTTCAGTTTCCCCTTTATCACTGTTATTTCTGTGTTTAAAATGTACCACACTACTGCAACAAAGCTCCTGAAGGACCATCGCTTCAGCTTCTCTAACACCTCCCACCTCTGCAAGCTCTGGGCCTGCCACCTTGCCCTTCAGGGGTGCAAACATTGTGATTCTTCTTCCAGCTGGCTGTCAGGGCCAAGGGGTCCTGCTAGGTCCCAGAACACTTTGGGCCTTTCTTTTTAGGAGCTTGAGATCAGCAGTGGATACAGGGACCAGAAGATCCTTTTACAGCAACAAGGGATTTCATTGTCACTGGTCTTTGTGTGTGTCTCTCTCTATTACCACTGGGAAGAAATCACAGCACAAAACAATGAGTGATAACCTTTTTCAAGTTCACCAGTATTTTTCTATCACTCTTCTGTAGACTCAGATTTCCCCAAATTCCCCCTTTCTTATCCCTCTACCTTGTCTTTCTGGCTGAAGCTCTTGCCAAGCTAATGAATCCAGCATAAGCAGGCAAAACAACACAATAATCCAACCAAGACAAAGTAGTCATAAATTATTACAGGCAGCTCCAAATCCAATCTGCCGTTGTCTTGGTGACTGACTGGAAAGTACCAATAATTTTTTTTTTCTTCTCAGGCTGCAAGATGTCATCCACATTTCTCTTTCTTCCCTCTCCCCGCTTCCCCACCCTTCCTTTTCCAGCCCTTGATGTTACCCCATCTTTCATCTTGTTTTCTGATGAGATAGCTTTGGAGTTAAGCAGTCCTTGAACTTTCAGTACTATCTGTTACTATATTTTTTTTTTTCTTCATAATTTTATTATTTTTTAACAAAAGCTCAGAGGCACTAGACCCTTAGTCCTGTGAAGAGTCCCCTTCTCCCTGTAGTTCTTGCATTTTCTTTTTATACACTGTCACACAGCTCTGTGACATGTTAACTCAGTCCAGGAGCTAGTATGCCATTTTGTCACCCTGCTGCTTTGTGTTCCTTTGACTCCTTTCTGTCAAGCGCACCAATATTTCTACACCCAACCTCTGACTTGGAGAAAGCAAATAATGGAGCTGACCTCATCCCAGAAAATAAAGTGGTCTTTTACCTAGACACATGGTAGCGAAGGGGGTCAGGACACCATTTCCCCTTGGCACTGCTTCTTTGCTCTCCTTTTTTATTGCCATGCATGCTCTACATAGAATAAAATGTCTAATAATTTTTTTTTTAATCAAAATTTTATATTTATGTGGTTTTCATTCTCTGTTCTCTTAAGTATTTTTTTCTGTTTTCAGGGGGCCTGGAGAACTCACAGGGGTGAGGCGGTTTATACCTTCTTTAGTTATACAAGAAATGATGGACCTTATATATCATCTGTTTATTTAAACTAAGTAAATATTCTGTCTTTCATCAAGAGGAAGTATAGAAATTTGCCTAGACAAAGCATATATCAGATATTGAAAACTGCAAATACAGAATGTGTGTATATTTGATGCCACAATGTGTTGAAGTATGGAGTTTACAAAGCAAAAAGAGACATGTAATTCCTATCAGCCTACCTAGCTGCCTTTGTTTCCTTTGAAAATTTCCCTTTAAAAACTGAAACCACTGTACAGGAGTATAAACACACACTACATTCAGGAATTAGCTGGAGTTGTGGTGTTATATGCCTGTAAGGCAATGTTTTGAAAATGTGACACTAAGAAGGCACGATGTAGAGATGTTCTTTATAAAAGCAGGTAGGGGGGAGATATTTTGTTCAAAATGGGTCATTGCAATAGGATCTCAGTACCGTGTGTTAGAACTAAAAAATTTTAGAAATACTCTACTGTTCCTATTGCTCACTACAGATTATAACACAAGTGGATTACTTTCACTCACAATTATATAGGTGACCCTTATCAGGTTTCTCTTTCATTTCCCACACAGGAATGTGGGAATAAATTTCTTGAATGTTCACAGTTGGGATTTTTAATTTCCAGTTCCCATAAATAGTTGCACTAATAAAGATGACACCATGATTACTCACCTTAAACATGGAGAAATTGTGAAGATGGCTGGAGTTCAATTCAGCAGAGTAAATACTTGTAATACAGCTAAATGTGGAATAAATTCTTCTTTAAAATTCTTCTGAAATATGTGCTTGCCTGAACACATATCAAATTTACATCTGAGATCAGAGAAAGACCCAAGAAAATGATGCCAGTCATATTCTTGGCAGCCATCAACAGGGTAATGCTGTCAAATATGGTATAAATTTCCTCTTAACACATTGTAAGTTCTGCTTATCTTGTCTCACCCACAGCCACGCAAACAGGAGGAGGTGGAGGCTGGTGACAGCTTGGTGACCAGACAGGATTAACAGGTGGCCCTTAAATACCCAGCAGCACTGAGTGTGTCGGAGGCCACATCCAAACAGCCCAAAACAAAGGAATAATCTCCACCAGGAAGAAACAAATGCAGGAGAGGACTCCTTCAGCTGATATAATAAACCAAAGAGTCACAAAATGGCAGGTATAATCCCATGTCCTTGGTGACTGTAGCATAAAGCACATCTGTGAGCAGGGGATCCAAAAAGGCATTGGCAAAACAACAGAGAAGGGAAGAAAAGCCAAGGAGTAGCATTCAAAAAAATGAAAGTTTGAAAGAGCTAGGTGGAGAATCAAGAAGACATTTGCTGTCATGATGGACACAGTTGGTGGCACCCTCTGGTAATAGCTCTTCATTCAGCAACAGTGTGGTTTAAGACCGTTTTGGGAGTCTCCACCTACCTTCTTCTCCTATTGCAATTTTTTCCCCACCACACCCTCACTTCTCCTGGCACTGTCACTTCTTGCAACCCAGATAGAGGAACTGCACCCACTTGAAAAATAAACAAGCATAAATAAAAGTGAAAAGAATGGCTGCTGTGGAAGAAAATAGGTGAAGGACTGAAGATTGCTCAAGATGGCACCATTGTTAGAAAGTGAACTTTGCCATTCTGTCCTGTGGACCTTCACAGTAACACCCCCTTCCAATACAGCTGCGCTCTGCTCTAATCTGAATAGGTGGAAGCAATCAAATAACTCACCCCTCCTACCTGCCCAGGGTCCCCTTCTCCCTCAGATGAGGGCAGGCTGGGCTCCTCAGGGAGCCTGGGGAGAGGGGCACCCACTACTCAGGCACCTGAGAGCGGCTCTGCTGGTTTCTTCCCCTCAGCCAGAAATCTGACTCAAAAAGCTAGAAAGGTTGATGCAGTAATCTGAGATTCCCCTCTGCACAGTGGCACTGCTTCACATGGGGAGATGAAAAGCAGCCACACCTTCCCACCCCCCCTTCCCAAGGCCACCTAACCAAGGATTGTTGTTAATATACTCTCTGGGGAAGTGGGATGCTTAAAAACACGTTTTGACGCCGAAATTACCTCAGTCACATTTTGGGAAGTGCCCTGTATGGCTGTTAAGGATTTGTGTGCAGCAAGAGCACCTCCACATGCAGTAACTCTTCCTGGTTTGGGGATTGTGCGTTGGCCAGATGCCATAACTGGTCGATGTTGTGAAAGGCCACAGAAGCCACAAAGCCCACCACTACCATTCATCCCACATCACAGCTAGAGGTGGGCTGTGTTACCCACTAGCAGGTCAGCATTACATGAAGTTCACCAAAGTCCTATTTTAAGCATCTTCACTCATATTTGGCCTCCAGTTCTTCAGAATATCTATATATGGCTTTAAGTTTCTTAGAAAATCCAAGCTTAATGCAGTCCTTCTGAGACGTACTCAGACAAACTCTGTGGATGTCCACTCTGTACCATGAGAGCTGCCCTGGGTCCCGACCTGGGCTATGTCTAGGTAGTATGGGACAGGCTGTCTGTAGACTGCGCTTCCAGATGGCCCTTCAGGGCAGGTGCAGGTGGTAAACATAGAAGGGCAATGCTGTTGAACACATGAATTTAACAGTGAAAGATTTTCTCCGTGTATTAAGTACTCTTGCTATGAACTGATTAGTTCAGACGTGCACACATACATATTTATGTGCACATGTGTATGCAAATATATATATATTTATACATATTTCATATTATATTAATTTCTTATGTACAATCTCTTTTCTAAACAGATAGTTGCACAGAAAAATACAGCAAAATTTGCTGGGTAAGTACTAGACCTGTCAGTGGACACAAACCAATATTTTTTATTACACAGAGGATTCATCTCATGTTACCATAGGTTCGAATCACACTTGAGAGCTCACATCTACCTGTTTGAACACATCCTAACTGGAAATGATTTACTACTAAAGAAAAGGATCACTCATTTTTTGTTGTGCCCCCACCTTGTTTGCAAGTTAATGCACAAGGCAGACCTTAGGCAGCCTTAATTTAGTTTGCTGTCTTAGCTCTTGAATCCCTCATCTGTACACTGCCATTCAGCACAGCAGGGGTGTCAGGTTTCCAGACCAGAACAACTCCAGTCCTTCTAATTATTGAATGAACTTTGTCTATTGCTTTCACTGTGGTAATGGAGCCCACAGGGAGCAATGATCAGGTCTGAGGTATAATGAAGGTCACTCTCATCAAGATACTTATTTCTTTAGATTAATAAGAAGGCAGAAAAACACCTATTCTGAGCTGTAAAAACACTTTGTTGTTGTATAAGTTACAACCAGCAGATTAAACTGTATCACATGAAGAAACAGTAAGAACTTCTCAAATGGAAAATGAAGAAAAATGCATCTTCTGCACTGCACGTTACTCATTAGACTCCCCAAAGTCTCATTTTACCACTAGTATATCCCTGCTGAGATGATTGGCATGCAACTAGTGGCGTGGGATAGCTGCTTAGAGTTTCCTAGGTTTCCCAGGTACAAGCATAGATAAGCAGCCACACAAGTTAGAAAGACAAACACAGGATAAAGAGAAAATCTTTGGGAATCACATTTGCTCTAGCTTAGTCAGGCGGGGTAGCTAAATCACCTACATAAAACATGGCTGCATTTGCTGTCTAGACAAAGTTAAGATAGCTGAAAAGGTAGTTTCTTTCTTAAGGAAGAGATGTGTTTGTGGAAGATACTGTTGAGATAACCCTGGTGGATGAAGTCTCCCCTTTACCCACAGAGTGGAGAGCACACATGGAGCAAGGGGCAATCCAGAGACTCCTGTGCTACGGGGGACCTCTACAGTCATAAACTCCAAGCTATGGGCTGTTAATCACAAAACCTAACAGGAATATTGGGGTAGGGAAAGAGATTGGGTTTTAAATACGGGGGGAAAATTCACAGAGAATGTTACATTTCGAATAGCTAAGACTAAGAAGCAGCTTCGTGTTAAGGATACATTCAACTTTAACCTTCAAATGCCTTCAAAAAACAGCAGGTCACACTGCCAGTTAGTGCTGCAAATCTAAGCACCATTTGTGGGACTATTGCAGCTGATACCAAGGTGACTTTTGTTTTAAGTCAATATGCTTTAACAAACTCCTCTAATGCAAACAAACAAACAAGAAAGCCAACCAACCACTAATAATCTCTGCAAGTAAAATGTCATTCCAAGAAAGTCAAAATGGTCTTTGTGAATGAAGTTTTCTTTAATAATATTAAAGACATAACATGCCTCTAAGGTTGGATATGAATGTGGCACATGGCCATAAAATTGATTCTGTTTTCTTTTGTTTTGGTTCTTCGGGGCTCTATATAATTATTCTTTCCTCTTACCCAGAATGAACGAGGACAAGGAAGTCCTTTGTACTTTCTAATTAATTGTAAAATACACAAGTAAAACCTGGCACAACCTTTCAATTCTTGGAGGCTCATAAATAAACTACAACTTCCCCACTGAAGGATTCACAGTAGCACTGAAGAATCTTTGAAGGACCAGGCTTTCTTCCAGAGAGGGTATCTCATGGTATATTTCCATCCCTGCATCTTTTTTTTTAAACAGTATTTGAACATGCTGAACTTTTTCTCTAGTATTCTAATATCAAGATACCAAACCTTACAGTGGCTTTTAAATTCCTTTTTTTTTTTTTTTTTTTCCTGTTACAAGGGGGTTTGAAGCTGGGTTTTTTGGTAGGTTTTTGTTTGTTTGGTTGGTTTTTTTTTAAACTGCTTGCCTCCTTGATTCCTAACCACAATCCTGTTGACACAACTTTTGGACAAGCATGTCTGAATGATTTCATAACTGTGACCAATTCTGATCTTCTGGACAACCTATTCTGGCTGTGCCATGCAAGCTGGGAATGTTTTCCTTGAATGTGTCTCCTAACACAAGCGTATCTGAGATTTTCTTTACAAAAAGCACACTTTCAAATTAACTTTTCTGCCTGGGATTTTGAGATAATTCTTGTCCTTTATTACTCACAAAGTTCTGAAGATTTGTTGTTTTACAGCTATAAATATAGGTGGCTTTTTTGCTTTTTTTTTAATGAAGCTCAGCTATTTTGTTTCCTTCTGGTGTCTCCCTTAACTATTTAAGATTTTCCTTTGAAGCCTTTTTTAAATGTGACAAGCATTGTTCTATCTTAGCAGTTCAGATCTTAAAGTAACATTTCAGTACTTTATCTTGCCACATATCTGTCATTCTTAATATGTAATGTATCCAAAATGAAAATAAATGCAACTCTCTTGAAAAACTCTGAACACCCTCCAGTCCTACTAATTTCAAGGGAACTCTAGCCTATTAACAGCTCTGAAGGCTGACTTCCCCATATTGACTAGTCTTGTTCATGTAGTCTTTTGCTCCTTTGAAAAGCACATAGCAAATGCCACCACTTGTGCCCAGCAAAATTTTTCCACAGTATTCTGTCTGACATCTGCTTCTGTTAAATAGGTTTAAAACTTTGCATTTATCTAGCAAAGTCCTGTTTATATCCTTTTTGTTTAAACTTCAGTTACTACTTCATGAAGTGCCTCCTATATGTAAAGGAGGGAATATTGTGCTCAGATTTGTGAAATGGACAACTGAATTATTATTTCTGCATATCCAAAATATTGTTCAGTAACTATATCAAAGTAGTGAAACAACATCTTTAAATTAATTTAAAAACCAATCTATTCTATTGATTGAAACACTGATATTTTTATCTATATAATTTTATGTTGCTATTGTTTCTACTGCATTTTGAGGTGCATAACTAACTCTTCAGTTTAAATGCACATTTCTGTTAGTATTAAAGAGACTTTGCCACATTGTAGTAACTGAAGTTCTGGTAATTTAAATATATAGCATTAAAAAAGGAAATACATGTCTTTCATGTTCTCCCTTTCTGTGCTACTGATATTAAATAGCCTCATAGTCTTCTTCCTACTACAAAAGACACATCAAAAACAACCAACTCAGTGAAGAGTTTTATTGGCCACAGTATCTTTACAGATTTGGACAAAAAAGAACTTGATATGATATGATTCTACACCGGAAAAATTCAGACTTGCAGCTATCTAGTGTTTCAGGACCGATGATGGGAGCTTTAGGGTCAAGATAACATAAGCAACTGTTGTCCTTTGACCAAGCTTTCAACTTATGCCTGCTCTATGTTCTTCCACCTTGACTACTACCAATGGAACAAGATAAAAGAACATCTTTTCAAATAAAAATGAATGTTTGTAAAGTGTATCGCTGGAGTTGAATACTTAGTAAAACTTCTGACCTTCAGTCCAGCTGAATTCAAAACACAAAGGCAGCTTTGAAATGCTGCAAATTGGGCCCAGCTGACATTTAAACATCAATAAACGTGTCCACACCCAAATATCGATGCATCAGAAGTGGGACTATTGATTTTTTCCAACAACATGTTTCAGCCATCTGCTTTCCTTTGCCTAGTTTTACTTCTGTCAGTTCTTACGAGGAATAGACTTTAGTTGGGGGTTCATGTACAATGAAACCTCTCATTTGAAATAAAAATGTACAAAATAACAGTGTTTGCCTGAAACCAGTGCCCAGGCCTTGTACCAGTGTACTGTTAGCTCTGCTCACCCAGCCCCTGCTAACAGCGGTGTTCTATTAAAGAGATGTTGCCTGTAAAACCACTGCATGGAGGACCCTTGCCCTGAGGGACAGCTAGGGTTCAACCGATAAACTGCTGAGATCCTGGAATTCCTGTTTTCATGCTTTCGGGATCCTTGGAGTAATACCAACACATGGCTTAGCCTGGGCTTTTGTCCACAGAACTCCCCAAGACGTCATTTTGGAGAGACCGCTCTTCCTCACCCCTCCGCCAAGAACAAGCAGGATACCTTAAAGCAACTTGGCTCACACTCACTCATTGTCATATTAGAAAGGAAAACTCTCCTGGACAGATACAACTATGAGTTTCATCAAAATGTCCTTCTTGCCCTCACTCAGGTATTCAATCCCTCTCCTCTCTCTTCAGGTCTGGTCACTCTGCTCCCCATGGCAGAGGGTTTCAAAGCTGAGGACAGAGGCTGCCAAAAAAAACATGAGGATTCCACTTGAATGATCTCTGAATTAGGCAAAAGCTCAGGCCCAAGTCAAATACAAACTCACAGACATAGCTATATTTTTCTCTTGTTCCCTCCAAGTATGTAATTCTTTCTACAATTTTTAAACTTTCTAGGTGTATCTATGGAAAGGAAAACTGAAAAGCAGGAGGGCAATAAGACAAGGACCTTGTGTTGTAGGTCTGAAGAAAAAAGCCAGGATGTATGGGAGGGGGAGCATACTGCAGGTACTAATATTATTCTGCCAGTACAAGCAGGTGGGGAGCTGTGAGGGAACATTTATTTGGCCGAGATTTCTAAAATGTGTTTTGTTTATTAACACTAAATTAACTCTTTATTTGTTATTTGGGCTTGGGTTTTGGTTTTGGGTTTGTTGGGGGATTTTTTTTTGATAGTGGAGTTATAACTTACTCTGGCTTCTTTAGCTCTGAACGCTGGCAACCTGGCTGGCCATATGGCACTTGAGAACACTTCTGCTTAGCTCCCCTTGTGTCCTTCCACTTTGCATTCAGCTATATCCAGGTGTTCTGCAAAGACAGAGGCAGATCATTGTCCCCATTTTATGAATGAGGAACCTGAGACAGAGATCGCAGGGTTTGTTTGGTCTTTCTTGGGACACAGATCCAAGAATAGAGCAGCCGACCCCTTGGCACACTCCTGGCTGGAAGAGCACATTGCCTGGGATGGCATGGTGAATAGCACAGGTGTGGGGGACCCGAAGGTAGGCACAAGCTGTTCCGTTTAGATGATTATCAGGTTTTAAGTGCATCCTCCACTTTGCATTTGAAAAACTAACTGATTGTGCTATTATGTTTCTCCTCACTTCCAGATGCAACTAGATGGAGTCTGCTCACACCAGAGACCAAGGGGCACAGTCTTCCCAAATCCTTAATGTAGGTACTTTTCATGTAAAGGAAAAAAAAAAAAACCTGACTGATTTTTTAAAAAAGAACAAAGATGTCCTCTAATTAAAACAGGTATCAAAAAATGGACAGAAACTTTCAGTGGATGAAATCAGGTAGAAAAACAACAGAAAGAAAAAATGAAGCCTACTTTTAAATCTTTGAGACCTGTGATGTAAAGAGCCATTTGAAGTTAATGGTGACCCTGGTGAGAAGGCTTCACTCCCTGATCTCCAGCTCCATTTGTAATGTATTGTCCTAAGCCATTTCATCTGAAGAATGATTTAAAGAATAAACACATCCATAGCTTTTGCTGTTATGGCCCAGTATATTTAGTCAAAGAAATTGGGTCAGTGTACTTTTTATTTTCTTTCCATTCTACTAACCCAACAGGATACTGGCCAAATTCCAAGCATGCTGTGTCCCATTCCTGATTTCATAGACACTGAAAAAAATAACAGCAATGAAAAAATGGACTGTGGATGGCTCAGCTGACACAGCCATGGGCAGGAAATGGTTGTTGCAGCATATTATCCACAAAGCTAGCCAGACTGTAGGTTTTGTTATTTTACATTTCACCCTGCCAACCATGTCTATTGGTTGTTGCAATCAGAGCTGCTGCTACTGCTGCAGGGTAGAAAGCAAAAAATAAAATAACAAAGATGGAACAGCAGAAGCAATGGTTTGTGCTGTGAATATACACAGTGAAGCACTGTAGACATAACCTGTTACTAGCTTGATTAATTAATTGGTCTGATACTTACTTCATTGTACCTTGTGAATGGACTAGGTTATGTTCATTAAATTTGGTCGTTTGGAGATATGAATGCTTTGTGAAATAAAATAGCTTGTGAAAGGGACACTCTAAGGTGTCTTTTTGGTGTATGGAGGGAGGGGAGAAGGGACTATGGTTATATGCATGTGTACAGATATATATATGTATGCATCCATATTATGCATGTATATTCATATATATAGGATTAACAGCTCCTGAAATCTAAAAGCATTTTCCAAACACTTGAGAGCTGTCTTCTTTCCTTAGTCATCTTAATATGATTATATACCTAAGCACTCTCACTATAGAGGAGGAAGATTTGTACACCTACTCTTGGCATAATGATAATATGCATAGAGGGTGTTGAATAAAAAAAATTAAGAACTAGTTAGCTTCACCATATGATTCCTGAATGAAACCAAATGTGCCTTGTAATGTCTAATCCCTTAGAACAATTTATCTACAAAGGGAATATCTTTTAAAAAACCTTCCTTGTTCCTCAGTTGTTGGGTTTTTCTTGGTTTTGGGTTTTGTTGCTGGGGTTTTTTTTGCCAGTCTGGACAAAGAGGACAGAGAAGTTAACAGTGTATTGTGTTGAGTGTCTGTGTGTGTATGTTTGTATACTTATGCATGTAAGGAGAGAAAGGGATAAAAACAATGAGAAGATTTCAAACGGCTTGGAAATTTGAGAAAGATTCAAAGAACATCAGATGCTGCATACGGCCCCATAGCCTCAGGTGTTCAGATTGCCACAGCAGCCTCCAATACACCCATTTAACCCAGGAAGGCAGCACCCAGTAGGACTGGGACGATAGCAATACTCAGTTTATGCACAATGCTAAACATCAAGACTCAAGTTTAACTTTCTGTAGGAGCATGATGTCTCCAGCTATTGCTTGCTGTATTAGTTAAATGATAATCTGCCCTCATTAAGTGTGGAGCAACCTCATCTTTCACTGAAGCAGCAAACAATCCAGGGATTTTCTTAGCACTCCTATCAAAAGGTAAGTAACATCATTACTTTAGTAAAACTGAGGTGCTGAGAAATCCCTAAGTAAATCACTGACACAGCTGGGAATAAAAGCTGGACTCCCTAATTCCCAGGCTTGTACATTAACCAGTAGAAAAATCATCCTCTTTTAGCCCGTAGGGAAAGACAGCTGAATTCCCATGGTGAGGCAGGGAATGCCACAATTATTCCATATAATCCTACAACTATAAACCACTGGTTTTAGTAAGGGTATACAATAAATCCTATTGTAATACACACAATATGTGAAAACCAAGCCATGATTAAATAAGGAAATCAAAACAACATGGTCCATTGTTAATGGACTAAAACTGTTAATAGTCTATTCGCACTTATCAGAAGAGTGTCAGAGAGCAATCACATTCTAGAAAAGCTTGCTATGGACCATTGCACAATCATTAACAGAGATATACCTTCAGTCCCCCACAAGAGAAGCACTATCTTATCAGAGGTAAACTCAAATAAAAAATGTTTGTGGACTGTAACCGTTGAAATCTGCCAGGTAATACAGAAAATAATTTTGGGATTAATTTTCTTGATTCCTGCTTACTCTTTCCTCCTGGAATAGATGAATATTCTGCATGACTAAAAGTATCAGGATGTGTCTTCAGAATGCACTGTCTGAGGTCAGGATGGTTTTGGCAGAATTTGGAATACAACCCTAATCCCTCAAATCCCGGAACTCTCTCATCAAGTGAAGAATTGCAATCGGGGCCTTGCAGCAGTAATCAAACAGAAGTGATTGTCATGAGGACAGGGCACATGGAAAAGTAAGAGAAAATTAGATAGGACTTAGGACAAGTAAGAGATAAAGAGGTGTTGTTGAATAAAACCGGTAGCAAGAATTCCTGACCTATTTATGACAATTTGATTAAGAAGGTGAGAAGTAACTACCAAAGTAGGGAGATGATAGCTAACAACTGATTATGGGAGGGTAAGCGTTGACACCGCATGACTCTGCAGTGGAGTACACTCGGTGGAACTTTGCTCTATTTTAAAAAGCAGCAGTTTTTTCCTAGGTTGTTTGGGGTTGTTTTACTCTTTTTCCCGTTGGACATGTCAAAAGAGTGATTCTACTACCCACCTTTATAAAAGTACTGACATTTGGAAGCATACCCAGGCACTGAAAGAGGCAGGCTTGGTGCTTTTAGCTCAGCACCCTCAGCATAAAGGTCACAGCCCGCAGCATCACCCAAGTAGAGAAGGTGATACGCAAGGTCAGGGCAACTCAGTCACCTAGCTCAGAGCTTGCGTGCAGCTGAACTGTCATTCACCCCTTATCAGTGTCTGCTCCAGAAGTCCAATGTTGAGGTCAATTAAAGGGCAGCATGGGAAGTTAACACTCACCAAATCAAGGGCTACACAATGGCTAAGTTTGGAATTAATGGAGGTCTGAGGTTTTTCTGAGTTACCAGTCATTTTAGCCTGATGCAGACAGTAACTCATAGGAAAGAAAAGAGGTAGCTGGTAAGCCTGCCTACACTAGATGGTTTACAAGGAATTTCACTTGGGTTTTACATCAGCATCATAACAGAGCTTTCCCCACTCACTTGTAAAGAAACCAAGCGTTGTGCGACTGTATCCAGGAAAAACAAAGCTGCTTGAGTCAAGAAGCCACGAGTAAAAATTCAAGTTGCAAATTAACTGAGTGTCTGATATTACATGCTGAAATCAGTTATCTGTAAAGAAATCCGGACAGTCCTTCAAAAGTGTGACCTGAATTTTATTTCTTACCTTCAATATGCTATAAACCACTTCCTTCCAAACGGAGTACATACTTAAATAATCACACTTAATTTTGTATTTTCACAAAATCAAAAAAAGGAATTACTAAGGTTCAACATGTTCAAAAGAAGTGACTCTTCACAGTCTGTCAATTACAGCTATAACAAGGAACTTCCAAAAATAGTTATTCAGAGGTGAATGGAGGATGTATTTCTGTGGTGAGCAAAGTGATTTTCATTACAGCTCTTGCCTTTTTCAGAAGAGTAAAATATTCACTGAAAACACAGATTTCCCCTCCTTTTGGGGTTTTGTGGGTTTTTGTACAAACACATTTCTTGGAAAATGTTCCTGGGTCACAAAAATTTCAGCAACACAGTCACGATTTATTTTCAATTGTCAGTAGATAAGTAGAAACTACAGGACAGCTTTTTGGTGCGTTTTTGAGTTACAGAATAGGTTGCAGGGAATCAGACACATGATTTAACATATGTTAGATCCTGCAGACAGATTTGAGTTTAGCAGTAAGCATGTGGCTAGTCTAATTTAGAGCAATTATAAAATTAGGCAAGACTATTTGCAGGATTGGGTAAGAGATTCATTTTTAGACTCACAGCATTTGAAGAATCTGATCGGTTCTTTGTTTTTGAAGGATAATTCCCTTCTTTTTGTGGCTCTAACAAGCTTACACCAACCAGTTCCTCAGTGTCAAAGATAAGTGTCCATTCAGAACAACAGCTTGGGCTCCTTCACTCCTCTGAGTAGTGTCATAGCAGTAGATACATTGCCAGTAGTGAGCCATGGACATCCGTTTTCAACCAGATCCGTGTTTTATACTCTGTGTCCTCTGATACACCTGACCAGACACCTCACCTTGGTAGCACTGCCTCTGATGGAAAAAAACCTCTCTTTATGCTTCTGCATTAAGACATTGACCCTTAATAGATATCTGAACAATTAAGTGGTTTTTGTTTATCCCTTGTAATATCTTAACTGCCTTGGTACTTTGTCTGAGAAACCTTCCACTGATTTCAAAGGGATTGGTATTCTATTCTACATATTTGAAATTGTTTATTGAGTACTCACTGGGTTTATCTAAAAAGCACAGGAAAGGGTGACACAGCATAAACTGCCAATACTACACAGATAACCTTAGCTTGACCTTGGATAGTAGTCTATCTCAGAGAATTTTACAGGCTGAGATTGCCAAATAAAGATATGCTTTTAATAAAAAAAAAATATTAATATAAGTTTTTTTCTCCTTTCTGTCCACAGAATATACATTGAAACTAGACTCGGAATACTTTATCTTGACCTTTTACAAATCTACACCACAACAGCATATAAAGGCTTCATCTCATGTGGAACTGGGACTTAATATTTAGCAAGCCTTTCATATATAAGATAGAATTTAACCATGAAAAAACACATATAATGTAGCATTTTTGCCAGCAAGATATTTTA